TCAGGAGGAGAGTGGTGGAGCACCTGGAACGGAACAGGAGTATAAATGCCAACCAGCACGGATTCACGGAAGGCAAATCCTGTGTCACAAACCTTCTGGAGTTTTATGATAAAATAACAGAAGTAAGACAAGAGAGAGAGGGGTGGGTTGATTGCATCTTCTTGGACTGCAAGAAGGCCTTTGACACAGTTCCTCACAAGAGATTAGTGCAGAAGCTAGAGCATCAGGCGCATATAACAGGAAGGGCACTGCAATGGATCAGAGAATACCTGACAGGGAGGCAACAACGAGTCATGGTACGTAATGATGTATCACAGTGGGGCACCTGTGACGAGCGGGGTCCCACAGGGGTCGGTCCTAGGACCAGTGCTATTTTTGGTATATGTGAACGACATGACGGAAGGGTTAGACTCAGAAGTGTCCCTGTTTGCAGATGATGTGAAGTTAATGAGGAGAATTAAATCTGATGAGGACCAGGCAGGACTTCAAAGAGACCTGGACAGACTGGACACCTGGTCCAGCAAATGGCTTCTCGAATTTAATCCTGCCAAATGCAAAGTCATGAAGATAGGGGAAGGGCACAGAAGACCACAGACAGAGTATAGGCTAGGTGGCCAAAGACTGCAAACCTCACTCAAGGAGAAAGATCTTGGGGTGAGTATAACACCGAGCATGTCTCCGGAAGCACACATCAATCAGATAACTGCTGCAGCATATGGCGCCTGGCAAACCTGAGAACAGCATTCCGATACCTTAGTAAGGAATCATTCAAGACACTGTACACCGTGTATGTCAGGCCCATACTGGAGTATGCAGCACCTGTTTGGAACCCGCACTTGATAAAGCACGTCAAGAAACTAGAGAAAGTACAAAGGTTTGCGACAAGGTTAGTTCCAGAGCTAAGGGGAATGTCCTATGAAGAAAGATTAAGGGAAATCGGCCTGACCACACTGGAGGACAGGAGGGTCAGGGGAGACATGATAACGACATATAAAATACTGCGTGGAATAGACAAGGTGGACAAAGACAGGATGTTCCAGGGAGGGGACACAGAAACAAGAGGCCACAATTGGAAGTTGAAGACACAAATGAGTCAGAGAGATAGTAGGAAGTATTTCTTCAGTCATAGAGTTGTAAGGCAGTGAATAGCCTAGAAAATGACGTAGTGGAGGCAGGAACCATCACAGTTTTAATACGAGGTTTGATAAAGCTCATGGAGCGGGGAGAGAGAGGGCCTAGTAGCAACCGGTGAAGAGGCGGGGCCAGGAGCTAGGACTCGACCCCTGCAACCACAAATAGGTGAGTACAAATAGGTGAGTACACACACACACACACACACACACACACACACACACACACACACACACACACACACACACACACACACACAACACACACACACATACACACACACATACATACACACACACACACACACACACACACACACACACAACACACACACACAACACACACACAACACACACACAGCACACACACAACACACACCATACACACACCATACACACACCATACACACACACACACACACACACACACACACACACACACACACACCACACACACACACACACACACACAACACACAACACACAAACAACACACAAACAACACACAAACAACACACGCACAACACACGCACAACACACACACACAACACACACACACAACACACACAACACACACACACAACACACACACACAAACACACACAACACACACACAGCACACCATACACACACCATACACACACCATACACACACACACACACACACACACACACACACAGCACACAAACAACACATAAACAACACACAACAACACAAACAACACACACACACACACACACACACACACCACACACACACACACACACACAGTGAACAGTGGAACAGAGAACTGGCAGGGAAGCCAGTTAATGAGATGATGGAATATGTAGCAACAAAATGCAAGGAGGCTGAGAGAGGTTTGTACCCAAGGGTAACAGGAGTAATGAAAAAGCCAGGATGAGCCCATGGTTTACCCAAAGGGTCAGGGAGGCAAAAACCAAGTGTGCTAGGGAATGAAGAAATATAGAAGGCAAAGGACCCAGGAGAATAAGGAGAACATCGTAGAGCCAGAAACGAATATGCACAGATAAGAAGGGAGGCCCAAAGACAATATGAAAATGACATAGCAGCGAAAGCCAAATCTGACCCGAAACTGTTGTACAGCCACATCAGGAGGAAAACAACAGTCAAGGACCAGGTAATCAGGCTAAGGAAGGAAGGAGGAGAGACAACAGGAAATGACCGTGAAGTATGTGAAGAACTCAACAAGAGATTCAAAGAAGTGTTCACAGAGGAGACAGAAGGGACTCCAGAAAGACGGAGAGGTGGGGCACACCACCAAGTGCTGGACACAGTGCACACAACCGAGGAAGAAGTGAAGAGGCTTCTGAGTGAGCTAGATACCTCAAAGGCAATGGGGCCAGATAACATCTCCCCATGGGTATTGAGAGAGGGAGCAGAGGCGCTATGTGTACCCCTAACAACAATATTCAATACATCTATCGAAACAGGGAGATTGCCTGAGGCATGGAAGACAGCAAATGTAGTCCCAATCTTTAAAAAAGGAGACAGACATGAAGCACTAAACTACAGACCAGTGTCACTGACATGTATAGTATGCAAAATCATGGAGAAGATTATCAGCAGAAGAGTGGTGGAACACCTAGAAAGGAATGATCTCATCAACAGCAGCCAGCATGGTTTCAGGGACGGGAAATCCTGTGTCACAAACCTACTGGAGTTCTATGACATGGTGACAGCAGTAAGACAAGAGAGAGAGGGGTGGGTGGATTGCATTTTCTTGGACTGCAAGAAGGCGTTTGACACAGTTCCACACAAGAGATTGGTGCAAAAACGGAGGACCAAGCAGGGATAACAGGGAAGGCACTACAATGGATCAGGGAATACTTGTCAGGAAGACAGCAGCGAGTCATGGTACGTGGCGAGGTGTCAGAGTGGGCACCTGTGACCAGCGGGGTCCCGCAGGGGTCAGTCCTAGACCAGTGCTGTTTCTGATATTTGTGAACGACATGACGAAGGAATAGACTCTGAGGTGTCCCTGTTTGCAGATGACGTGAAGTTGATGAGAAGAATACACTCGATCGAAGACCAGGCAGAACTACAAAGGGATCTGGACAGGCTGCAGACCTGGTCCAGCAATTGGCTCCTGGAGTTCAATCCCACCAAGTGCAAAGTCATGAAGATTGGGGAAGGGCAAAGAAGGCCGCAGACGGAGTACAGTCTAGGGGGTCAGAGACTACAAACCTCACTCAAGGAAAAAGATCTTGGGGTGAGTATAACACCAGGCACATCTCCTGAAGCGCACATCAACCAAATAACTGCTGCAGCATATGGGCGCCTAGCAAACCTCAGAACAGCATTCCGACATCTTAATAAGGAATCGTTCAGGACCCTGTACACCGTATACGTTAGGCCCATATTGGAGTATGCGGCACCAGTTTGGAACCCACACCTAGCCAAGCACGTAAAGAAACTAGAGAAAGTGCAAAGGTTTGCAACAAGACTAGTCCCAGAGCTAAGAGGTATGTCCTACGAGGAGAGGTTAAGGGAAATCAACCTGACGACACTGGAGGACAGGAGAGATAGGGGGGACATGATAACGACATACAAAATACTGAGGGGAATTGACAAGGTGGACAAAGACAGGATGTTCCAGAGATTGGACACAGTAACAAGGGACACAGTTGGAAGCTAAAGACACAGATGAATCACAGGGATGTTAGGAAGTATTTCTTCAGCCACAGAGTAGTCAGTAAGTGGAATAGTTTGGGAAGCGATGTAGTGGAGGCAGGATCCATACATAGCTTTAAGCAGAGGTATGATAAAGCTCACGGCTCGGGGAGAGTGACCTAGTAGCGATCAGTGAAGAGGCGGGGCCAGGAGCTCGGACTCGACCCCCGCAACCTCAACTAGGTGAGAACTAGGTGAGTACACACACACACACACACACACACACACACACACACACACACACACACACACACACACACACACACAAAGGGATGTTAGGAAGTATTTCTTCAGTCATAGAGTAGTCAGGCCATGGAATAGCCTAGAAAGTGATGTGGTGGAGGCAGGAACCATACATAGTTTTAAGGCGAGGTATGATAGAGCTCATGGGGCAGGGAGAGAGAGGACCTAGTAGCAATCAGCGAAGAGGCGGGGCCAGGAGCTGTGACTCGACCCCTGCAACCACAAATAGGTGAGTACAAATAGGTGAGTACACACACACACACACACACACACACACACACAACACACAACACACACACATGTGTAGTGCAATCTAAGTTTAAGCAGAAGTAACAATTTGTACCTGAAATCTTGCATGTTTATGAAACAGAAAAAAAGACACCAGTAATCCTACCATCATGTAAAACAAAAACAAGTTTCTGTTTTACACTCACTTGGCAGGACGGTAGTACTTTCTTGGGTGGTTTCTGTCTACCAACCTACTACCTAGGGCACATTACTTCTTTTCTTTCAAATATTTCTTGCCTGAGCTTATAGTGAGTGGTGAATATATTTACTGCAGGAAATCTGAATAATGAAGAATGGGTATAACTGAAAACTGCTGTATTAGTGAGATGCCATAAAGTGAAGCACTGTAAAGCAAGGCCTTCCTGTATGCATGTACATGCATGTGCAGTGTGACCTAAGTGTCAGCAGAAGTAGAAAGATATACCTGTATCCTATGAGTAAGTCAGACAAAAAAAAGACACCAGGTTTCTGTTTCACACTCACTTGGGAGGATGGTAGTACCTTCCTGGGTGGATGCTGTCTACCAACCTACTACCTACAATGTTTATATATGTATTTCTATATATCTTTCACGTTATAAACACACAGATTTGTAACAATTTTCAAATTAACACAAGACATCTATTTTCTCTATGTTCAGTACCAACCTGTAGAATCTTTTGCAAGGTCCGTCGGGTCCTTCCCTTTACTGGAGTCTAATTTACTCTTTACTTCAACAATCTTATCCTGATTCTTCTCAACAAAAGTCTTTATGTTTGTCTTCTCCCTCCAGGCTGTTACTAAGGTGTACACATCTGCACTGTATTCTAAAACTGAGAAAAATAATGTCTTACTACTTTTATTGCATCTAAACCCATCTCCTTGTCAGTACAACACTGTACTAATACTGAACAGCAAAGGACATGGTAAATTTCAATATTTAATAGCATACTATATTTAATGAGAACAAATGCTGAAATACAACAATACTGTCTTAACAAACACTGGCCATTTTTTCACCAAGAAAGGAAGAATTTATCTGAAACATTCATTAGATTGAAATACACTATTTTTATCTTTTAATAACTGGAAACTTCCCTTCTTTTAAAGTGGTCTCTCAAAATCAAATGTCAAAATTTTAGATATTGTATTTACTGAAGAATGCAACATCATGACTTGATTGCTGCAAAAATTAAACATTAGTACCAGCTTACACGAAGAAGCAGAAATGTGTGAAAATGCCGAGGACTGCTTCAGTGTGCACATAGGAATGGGAAAGTAGGAGCAGCAACAAGACATGGCTCAAAGCAATAGTAAATGAACAGAATAATTATTTAGGCTAAGAGAAACACTATCAAAACTGAAACGTGGAGGCTCGGAAAATGTAAATTACAAAATAGTGTTGTTGTATGACTGCGACTGAATTAATGTTTTTACCCCTCATCATAGTGATATGTACTTCTTCAGGAACCAAAACAGTACGTCTCATACTTTATAACAAAACATACTGTATTTTCTTACCATGCTCTTTTTCCTTTTGACATTCACTTGATACATTCATGTCCAGATATCTATCATCTTTTACTGAATTTGTATAATCAGCTTGTTGGGTAGTAGACGAAGAGGTGTGAAGTCGAGTGGCCGGAGAGAGAGGTGAAGGTATGTCTGGAGAGGGTACATGCTGCTCACTCCCACTTAATGCTGGTGAGAGCGGGGGAGAACAGGAAGGTGTCATTAAATTCTCTGACACCTCTAATCTCACTGGTGAGGCAACAAGCGTGTTGCTAGAAACTTCTCGAGGGGCTGGCAAAGAATCATATCCATACATCTGATATGAGACAAGTGGTCTCGGTGGAGGTGGACTGTTGTACATTTCTTCACATCCTTGAGCTTCACCATGCATGCTGATTGCTCTTCTTATTTCAGGCATATAACCAACCTTGGCTGCTAAAGATGATACTAGCTGTAACAGAAAATAATTATTATTCAGTACACATTTCAAGTAAAATAATGCAAATAGTTAATTCAAATACAGTATAATGTAATTAAGACAAAAATAAATGTTCATAAATTTTAAACCAACTTTTCTATGAAATAAAATTAGGGCTTCTTACAAAAAGTGTAAATATAGTCATAGACAAAAACTGCTTAGAAGGAAAAAGAAATCTAATTACAGTGGAACCCCGAGTTTCGTCTGCCCTGAGTATCGGCTACTTTTTTCAGCTAAATTTTGTCCTGAGTTTCGGCTGTTGCCCCATGTTTCAGCCGGCATACCAGACCTGTCCACCTGCCCGCACCTGTGCTCCTCCCCACGTAGGTGTCATGAGCCAGTCTAGCTTTGTTTATCCTTGAGTGAACATCACCCCAAACGCTCATCAAAACATTTCACAATAAATTCATTGTGTTTAGTGCTTGTTTATTGATTATGACTGAAATAAGCCACCATGGGCTGAAAGAAACTTCATAGTGGCAGTAAGGCAGTGGTTGAGGCAGTGGTGGAGGCAATAATAAGTCCTCCCTATCTTCCAGATGCCAATAAGTCTCTTCAATAAAGGTATGCAAATGTGATTTTAAATGTTTATTTAAATGTTTATGTATTGTATTACTCATTTAATACTATATGTATGTTTTAAGTACTATATGTACGTTAAACTAGTTATTCTTTAAAAAATGCATTTTTTCTGAATATTTTTGTGGGTCTGGAATAGATTAATTGTATTTACATTATTTCTTATGGGAAATATTGCTTCGACTTTCGGCCATTTCGAGTTTAGGCCTAACTCCTGGAACGGATTATGTCCGAAGCTCGGGGTTCCACTGTACTCACTGCTGCATCCTCTAGTTTCTGAGCTAAAGTGGAGAAGTGCTTCTGGTAGGCCAAGACAGATGGAGTATGTCCATGGCAGTTTGTAGTGTTGAGAGCTGCTTCACCTCCTGGAATCTCTAACAATGCCCATATTAAACGTTCTAACCCATAATAGGCACTGAAGTGAATCCAGGTTGGAAATTTGTAGCCATCTGTGTAAGATAATATCAAGATTATTTTAATGGGGAAGCACTAAACCCATAAGGGTTATATAGTATGTGGAAAATGGGAGGCAATCAGGTTTGGTTCAAGGTAGTGGAGGGCAGGTCCAATTCAATGGATCAACAGCCCTTCATCTGAATCATGGAAATCACCCCCCATCCTTCCCCACACCCATTAAAAAACTTAAACATATACAGCAACACAGTCAGCCAGTAAAATCTGCATCTAGGTGATTCAGTCAAAACAGATTTTTAACAAAAGTGCCCTCTAACAACCTAACTTTTCACATACACAGTGCTCATTAAGTTTTTATACAGTAGTCTGTGAATGCTCCAGGAGTCATTAACCAAACAACCCAATCTCTGGTCAGCCTGATAACTTAGGCTGTTTGTGCCTGCAATTATGAGAAGGTAAAGCCTGTTTCCAAGTTGATAAGGAGAACCTCTCTGATTACATAAATTTATGCCAAATTTTCGTGCCTTCAAAATTCATGCCATCATGTGTTTTATGACCCAGCTTGTGTCTGGGTGTCCTAGCACCTTGTCATGCCTGAGAAACAATGTAGAGACAAGCAGGTCTATACAGTGCATCATGTTTAATTACTTAGGTAACCACTTTGGATTTTATAAAAAGAAATAATCCAGGTATTATATCTTCAGTGATATTCTATGATAAAAGAGTTCATCCTACATGCAAGAATTGTTGAATAACTATTATTATTATTATTATTGTTGTATGTTATTGCTATATCTACTGAAATTTATATAACCTTGTTTTATATAGATGTAATTTCTCAAATAAACTCTTTATGATAATTGTAATTACAGTATTAAATAAATTATAAATAATCATTTCAATTATCATTATTATAAAAAGAGGTTGTGAGATGTTGTTGTATGTGACATTCAGAAAGCTTCCCATACATAATGTTAATATAAAAAAAATAGTCATTGCTACCATACAGAATTGTGCAAGAATATATAAAAGAGATTTTAATGCCAGATAATATATTGTAAAATACTTTCCACTTTTTTAAAATGATCATCTAAACATACGGACTTAATAATTAGTATTTAAGGCAAGTACTTCAATGCCTAATTTCTTAACCCTTTCACTGTCAGTATCACATTAGTATGACTTACAAGCCAGTGTTAGTGCAGTATTAATATGCCAAAATTCTAGCGGCTTCAAATCTAGCGGGAGAAAGCTGGTAGACCTACATGTGAGAGAATGGGTCTGCATGGTCAGTGTGTGCAGTATAAAAAAATTCCTGCAGCACGAAGTGCATAGTGAGAAAAAAAAACCTCTTACTGTGTTTTTGGTTTAAAACGCCGACTTTGAGGTGTATTTTTTATGGTATTTATGGTTGTATTCTCGTTTCCTTTGTCTCATTTGACAGAATTGAAGATATATTACAGAAATAGAGATGATTTTGATTGGTTTCATGATGAAAATTACCTTGAAATTGAGCTCAAAGTAGCAGAACTGTTCGATTTTTACCAATGTTCAAGAGGAAACAAATGATGTCACCATCCAATACATGTACAACAGGCCAGTCTAATACACAGTCATGAATGAGTCAAAATTATTTATACATTTATTACAATAATGCAGTAGTCTGCATAACAGTAAATCTTCTATTTTTGTGTGAATAAAAATTCAAAACAGAGAACAAGAGTAATATAAGAGGGGCCGAGATGTGACTAATGAACAGAGAAAATGTTATTTTACTGCCAGGAATGTCTGCATTGTTTATTCTGGACCATATTTTGAAACTAGCATCTTTTGAAATTTGTGTAAAATTGGCCAAATTGCCAATTTCTGACCACTTTTTTTGGGTAGTTGAAATCGTTAAATGGGCGATTTCTTGTAATCAATCGATAAAACAAATGGAGTTCTAGCGAAATAGCTACAAGTCTGGTCCATTGGAACAATGGAATTGGCCGAAAATATGGCTCAATGTGGGGAAAATCGCCAATGCACACATATCGCCGAGATTGCTAACTTCACAAGAGCATAATTCCTTAAGTTTTCCATTAAATTTTGTACTTTTGGTGTCATTACCATTGGGAAAACTTTATCATTTCACAAGAAATTTTTTTTTTCTTTTGAAAATTTTTCGACACTGAGAACAAGTTTGTGAGCAGGGGTCTCGACAGTGAAAGGGTTAAAATACTCTTCGCCATTACAAAATCCAAGCATAACAACTTTATGATTTATAGTTAAAATTGGTTCAGACAAAACCATTCCATATCTCTCAGAAGTTATTACTGATCTCTACACTTATAACAGTCAAAGAACCAATATCGTACATCTTTTAATCCTTTTACATACAATAATGTAACATACCTCTATTTTGTACATTTGATTCTCCTAGTCTATGGGGAGGTAGATGAAATCTTACTGTATCTGCTAATTTCTGATCAAGTTCATCACTTGTTGGATTGATGTTCAGGGCCTGGAATAGTTCATTTTTTTCTTCAGTATACAGATAATGCAGTTTACATAATATAAAATATTGTTAGGCACAAAAAGTCACTAGCATGAAGTGTATTTTGGGCAAGCTAATCCTAATGCTTTAAGACTGCTTAAGAACTACGCACAATTTATTAAGTTAAACAGCTATAAGAACCTCACACATTTAGCCAACATAACTGTGAATTCTAGGTAGTAGGTTGGTAGACAGCAACCACCCAGGGAGGTATTACCATCCTGCCAAGTGAGTGTAAAATGGAAACCTGTAATTGTTTTACATGATGGTAGGATTGCTGGTGTCCTTTTTTCTGTTTCATGAACATGCAAGATTTCAGGTATGTCTTGCTACTTCTACTTACACTTAGGTCACACTACATATACATGTACAAGCACATATATACACACCCCTCTGGGTTTTCTTCTATTTTCTTTCTAGTTCTTATTCTTGTTTATTTCCTCTTATCTCCATGAGGAAGTGGAACAGAATTCTTCCTCCGTAAGCCATGTGTGTACTAAGAGGCGACTAAAATGCCGGGAGCAAGGGGCTAGTAACCTCTTTTCCTGTATATATTACTAAAGGTAAAAGGAGAAACTTTCGTTTTTCCTTTTGGGCCACCCTGCCTTGATGGGATACAGCCAGTGTGTTGAAAGAAGAAAGAAGAACTGTGGATTCTAGGTAGTAGGTTGGTACACAGCAACCACCCGGGGAGGTACTACCATCCTGCCAAGTGAGTGTAAAATGGAAACCTGTAATTGTTTTACATGATAGTAGAATTGCTGGTGTCTTTTTTTCTGTCTCATAAACATGCAAGATTTCAGGTAGGTCTTGCTACTTCTACTTACATTAAGGTCACACTACACATGCTGTTTTTTTTTTTTCAACAAACTGGCCATATCCCACCAAGGCAGGGTGGCCCAAAAAGAAAAATGAAAGTTCTCTTTTTAAATTTAGTAATTTATACAGGATAAGGGGTTACTAGCCCCTTGCCCCCGGCTTTTTAGTCGCCTCTTACAACACGCATGGCTTACGGAGAAAGAATTCTTTTCCATTTCCCTGTGGAGATAAGAGAAAATAAACAAGAACAAGAACTAGAAAGAATATAGCAGAAAACCCAGAGGGATGTGTATATGTATGTTTGTACATGTATGTGTAGTGTGACCTAAGTGTAAGTAGAAGTAGCAAGACGTACCTGAAATCTTGCACATTTATAAGACAGAAAAAAGGACACCAGCAATCCTACCATCATGTAAAACAATTACAGGCTCTCGTTTTACACTCACTTGGCAGGACGGTAATACCTTCCTGGGCGGTTGCTGTCTACCAACCTACTACTATAACACATGCATGTACAAGCATATATATAGAGACCATTCTGGGCTTTCTTCTATTTTTCTTACTAGTTCTTGTTCTTGTTTATTTCCACTTATCTCCATGGGGAAGTGGAACATAATTCTTCCTCCATAAGTCATGCATTATATAAGAGTTGATTAAAATGCAGGAAGCAAGGGGCTAGTAACTCCTCCTGTATACATTACTAAAGTTAAAAAGAGAAACTTTTGTTTTTCTTTTTGGGCCACCCTGCTTCAGTGGGATACAGCCAGTTCGTTGAAAGAAGATTATAAATAATGTTTTTAACTTAATTAAAGGGAAGTAGATCTTTGCCAAGGGAAGGCTGAAGCCCCTCCATGATCTTTCCAGCCCCAAAATTAAAATAATAATAGTTTTGCTTCCAGACAAGTCCTATAGACCCTCTTTCCAATCAGACTGTTACCCTTAAGCCCCTGATATTGAAATTCTGTAGCTGCCCCAGTTCAATGCTAGAGTTCTAATCAGAGTATTATTTTTCTGAAGTGCAGAATTTGTATCCCTGTACAGTAACACACTATAATATAAATGCTGCACATTTGCTTTAAACAAGAATAAGGTTTGGCACAATGATAACTAATATATTTAATGTTTCCAAAGGGCCAAGCTCCTCAAATATTTTGTTCATGTTGGTCAATAAAATCACTGTGAACATTAGAATAGTAAAATAAAAACACATCAGAGCTTGATTCACAGTATTAGTTTGCAGGTTCATCTCAAAATTACGTAGAATGTCTTGATGAATAAAGGAAATTCACGTGCAGCGTAAAACAGAAAAGTGGTTACTGTACATCTAACGATTACCAGTTTCAGTTCCATAGCAATGATGGACACATTTGTTTTATCCAAAATATAAATAATTGGCAAATCAAATTACAGACTTCCTAGCCATTAGTGAACAATATATTTATGAACTCTGTGTCAGATAGAGCAATTGGAAAGGGTGCACAATTACAGCATGATTGAAGTACATCAGTCTGTTGATGTAGGAATGACTCAAGGCAGTGTTCTTGGCCCTTTGCTCTTCCTCATATTCATCAATGATCTCCCAGCGCATCTCATCTCCTTGAACCTGTTCTATCTGCTAACACAACTTTTGTCATCCCCCACTTAAATCTGACTTCTTTCAACAACATTGTCAATGATGAGCTCCTAAAAATATCTGTGTGGATGAGTACAAACAAACTCCCCCTTAATAATGATAAAACCTACTACATTATGTTTGGAAACAGAGCTACAAATATCCAATTAACAGAGTAGCATGTGAGCCTTGTGATTAGTTGCACAATATACACTGGATAATTAGTGGCTTTTTTTTGTGCCTACTTTTGTACTAATACATTTAAATGTATTAGTACAAAGAGGGGAATGTATGAGAGTATAGTTTTACCAACGCTCTTATATGGGTGTGAAGCATGGGTGATGAATGTTGCAGCGAGGAGAAGGCTGGAGGCAGTGGAGATGTCATGTCTGAGAGCAATGTGTGGTGTGAATATAATGCAGAGAATTCGTAGTTTGGAAGTTAGGAGGAGGTGCGGGATTACCAAAACTGTTGTCCAGAGGGCTGAGGAAGGGTTGTTGAGGTGGTTCGGACATGTGGAGAGAATGGAGCGAAAAAAAATAACTTCAAGAGTGTATCAGTCTGTAGTGGAAGGAAGGCGGGGTAGGGGTCGGCCTAGGAAAGGTTGGAGGGAGGGGGTAAAGGAGGTTTTGTGTGCGAGGGGCTTGGACTTCCAGCAGGCATGCGTGAGCGTGTTTGATAGGAGTGAATGGAGACAAATGGTTTTTAATACTTGACGTGCTGTTGGAGTGTGAGCAAAGTAACATTTATGAAGGGGTTCAGGGAAACCGGCAGGCCGGACTTGAGTCCTGGAGATGGGAAGTACAGTGCCTGCACTCTGAAGGAGGGGTGTTAATGTTGCAGTTTAAAAACTGTAGTGTAAAGCACCCTTCTGGCAAGACAGTGATGGAGTGAATGATGGTGAAAGTTTTTCTTTTTCGGGCCACCCTGCCTTGGTGGGAATCGGCCAGTGTGATAATAAAAAAAATAAAATAATAAACATTTAAATTATATTATTTGTATGACTTAAAGAAATAAACATTATAATTCTTGGTATTGTTAATTACTTAAAGAATTTTATGCATAACTTTGAGTGTAAATTATAGACTACAACATTATTAAATACTGTTTATGAAAATTTCCAGTACTTACTGTACTATCTAGAATGTTTTGTATAGGATACAGATAACTGTCAAAACTGGTGACTGTATACAGAATGTCTAGTCCTAAAGAATGCCAACAATGTTTGTACCTGGCACATGAATTCTGTAGGATTGGACACATTGGTTAGAATAGTCTTCAAAGTGTCCATACTACTCTCACACTTCAGCTGTCTTGATCCAATCCTTTTCTTATCAACCAGCACAGTGACACATATAAGGGATGATCCTCTCAAGAATTCTTCTGAAATATCAAAGAACTGTTATAATATAACCGAGACAATTCTGAACCTTTTCCAAATTCTTTAGAGAAACTCCCTCATCAGTATATCCATCACATAATCCTAACACACTTCTAGTCATCAGATTCAAATTTAATCCAATGTCAGTGAATCTTCCTTCATTACCCACATGATGCCTTTAATCCAGTCATGTTCACCTGCAAACTGCCCTGCCATCATTCACTCACATTCTGCATGAATGATCCAAACAAAGAACAAAGGCAATACCAAAACAGACATGGCTCCATTCTCGCTTGAACTATAATGTATCTTCATGCCCCACTATGCTACCTCCAACCTCAACACCTTTAAAGCACCTCCAGCCCCCATCCCCCCCTCAAAAAAAAAAAAATCATGCTAGTCAGGTAGGAACACACTGTACATCAGGGTAATATGTTTTTTTTTTTAACACACTGGCCGTCTCCCACCGAGGCAGGGTGATCCGAAAAAGAAACACTTTCACCGTCATTCACACTATCACCGTCTTTCCAGACATTTGCTGTTTAGATGTCCCTCTAAACAGCAAATATCCCAAACCCCTCCTTTATGAGTGCAGGCACTGCAATTCCCACCTCCAGGACTCAAGTCCGGCTAACTGGTTTCCTTGTATTCCTTCACACAATATTACCTTGCTCACACTCCAACAGCTTGTCAAGTCCCAAAATCCATTTGTCTCCATTTGCTCCTATCTAACATACTCACACATGCCAACTGTATGTCCAAGCTTGGAGAGTAATTTATGTACACAGACAAAATTACAAACAAATTGCATTAGTTATATAAGAGTAAAAGAAGACAGTCTAAGGATCAGCACAGATGATGCATATTGGTAGTTACCCTGTACTATAAGAAAACAGAGGACAAAAGTGCAGGAAGTTTTTACTGAAAGAGTTAAGAGCAAGCAGGCATTATGTATGGTAGTTTTCATTGAAAGAGTTCAAAGTGAGACACAAAATAAGGTTTTGGAGGAAGAAGGATTTAGGAAGGTTAAGGGATGTGTAGACCAAGTATTTACACTGAAGCACATGAACAAACATTATTTAGGTAAGTGTAAGGGAATGTTTCTTGCATTTAAGGATTTAGAATAAGCACATGATAGTGGAGTAATATTGTAGATATTACAAATGTATGGAATAAGTAGCATGTTATTGAAAGAAATAGTTTCTTTCAATGAGAGTGAGGTACAGATTAAGTTATGTAAGAAAGGATGGCCTAGGTAGTAGGTTGGTAGACAGCAACTACCCAGGGAGGTACTACAGTTCTGCCAAGTAAGTGTAAAATGGAAACCTGTAATTGTTTTACATGATGGTAGGATTGCTGGTGTCTTTTTTCAGTCTCATAAACATGCAAGATTTCAGGAACGCCTTGCTACTTCTATTTACACTTAGGTCACACTACACATACATGTACAAGCATATCTATACACACCCCTCTTGGTTTTCTTCTATTTCCTTTCTAGTTCTTGTTCTTGTTTATTTCCTCTTATCTCCATGGGGAAGTAGAACAGAATTCTTCCTCCGTAACCATGCGTGTTGTAAGAGGTGACTAAAATGCCGGGAGCAAGGGGCTAGTAACCCCTTCTCCTGTATAAATTACTAAATTTAAAAAGAGAAACTTTTGTTTTTCTTTTTGGGCCACCCTGCCTTGGTGGGATACGGCCGGTTTGTTGAAAGAAGAAGAAACATGCAAGATTTCAGGTATTTCTTGCAACTTCTACTTACACTTAGGTCACACTACACATGCATGTATATATACATACACACCTCTAGGTTTTCTTCTCCTTTCTTACTAGTTCTTGTTTATTTCCTCTTAGCTCCATGCGGAAGTGGAACAGAATTCTTCCTCCATAAGTCATGCGTGTCATAAGAGGCAACTAAAATGCTGGGAGCAAGGGCCTATTAACCCTTTCTCCTGTATACATTACTAAATTTATAAAGAGAAACTTTCGTCTTTTTTTTGGGCCACCCTGCCTCGGTGGGATATGACTGGTTTGTCGAAAGAAAAAGAAGGATGGAATCATCTTCCAGTAAAAGTACGCCTTAGACAGGGACGTGTGATGTCGCAATGATTGTTTAATATATTTATAGATAGGGTTGTAAAAGAAGGGAATACTATGGTGAAGGATCAAAAGATATTAGATCCGATACAAAGTGGGAGCTGTCACAGTTGCTCTTTGCCAATGACACACTGACACATTTCTTTTGGGAAATTCTGAAGACAAGTTGCAAAGGTTGGTGGTCAAATTTGGGAGTATGTCAAAGTCTGAAATTAAGAGAATAGAAAAGGAGAAAGGAGACAAATTGAAGTAATGGCAGTGAATTTCAGATTGGAGGGAGGAAGTATGAAGGAATTGGATGTATTCTAAAATTTGGAAGTAGACATGTCAGTAGATAACACTATGAAATATAAGGTGAGCTATAAAATAGGTGTATGGTAAAGGAGGTAGGTTACTGAAAGCAGTGAACAGTTTTTATGAGGATAGTGAGGCTCAGATTAGAGTATGTAGGAGAGAGGGAGATTATTTCCCAGTAAAAGTAGGCCTTAGACAAGGATGTGTGATGTCACCGTGGTTGTTCAATATACTTATAGATGGGGTTGTAAGAGAAGTGAATGCGATGGTCTTGGCAAGAAGTGTGGAGTTAAAAGATAAAGGATCAAACACAAAGTGAGAGTTGTCACAGTTGCTCTTTGCTGATGACACTGTGCTTTTGGGAGATTCTGAAGAGAAGCTGCAGAGGTTGGTGGATGAATTTGGTAGGGTATGTAAAAGAAGAAAATTAAAAGTGAATATAGGAAAGAGTAAGGTTATGAGGATAACAAAAAGATTAGGTGACAAAAGATTGGATATCAGATTGGAGGGAGAGAGTATGGAGGAGGTGAATGTATTCAGATATTTAGGAGTGGACGTGTCAGCAGATAGGTCTATGAAGGATGACTTAAGAAATTGTAATGACACGATTGCAAACAAACCATACCCCCGGATGAAGGATGAAGTGAATCATAGAATTGACGAGGGGAAAAGGGCGAGTGGAAGCAAAGAGGGGAATGTATGAGAGTATATTTGTATCAACACTCTTGTATGGGTGTGAAGCATGGGTGATGAATGTCGCAAAGAGGAGGAGGCTGGAGGCAGTGGAGATGTCGTGTCTGAGGGCAATGTGTGGTGTGAATATAATGCAGAGAATTCGTAGTTTGGAAATTAGGAGAAGGTATGGGATTACCAAAACTATTATCCAAAGGGCTGAGGAGGGGTTGTTGAGGTGGTTTGGACATGTAGAGAGGATGGAACAAAACAGAATGGCTTCGAGAGAATATAATCTGTAGTGGAGGGAAGGCGGGGTAGGGGTCAGCCTAGGAAGGGTTGGAGGGAGGGGGTAAAGGAGTTTTTGTGTGCGAGAGGCATGGACTTCCAGCAAGCATGTGTGAGCATATTTGATAGGAGTGAATGGAGACAAATGATTTTTAATACTTGACGTGTTGTTGGATTGTGAGCAAAGTAACATTTATGAAGGGACTCAGGGAAACCGGCAGGCCGGACTTGAGTCCTGGAGATGGGAAGTACAGTGTCTGCACTCTGAAGGAGAGGTGTTAATGTTGCTGTTTTATAACTGTAGTGTAAAGCACCCTTCTGGCAAGACAGTGATGGAGTGAATGATGATGAAAGTTTTTCTTTTTCGGGCCACCCTGACTTGGTGGGAATCAGCTGTTGTGTTAATAAAAAGCTAAAATAGAACTATAAAATAGATGAGGAATATAAGGAAGGCATGTTAAAGTACCTGTGGACAGAAAAAAGTTTATCACAGAATGCAACATAGGGAATGTACCAGAGTATAGTGGCACCAACATACTTAAATGGGTGGAGGATGTTAAGAGGCAGCAGAGATGTTATGTTTAAGAGTAATGTATGATGTGAATATTATGCAGAGTAACCACTAAAGTGGTTTAGGTATTTAGAGAATACAGAGAGGGATAGGATGACAAAGAGGGTGTGTAAATCTGGGGTGGAAGGAAGGAGAGGTAAGGGTAGTCCTGGGAATGGTTTAGGTGAGGGGATATGGGAGTCTTTGAATTTTAGGGGCTTTAGCATCCAGCAGGCTTGTGTGAGCATGTTAAGACAAGAGTGAATGGAGACAAAGTGGTTGTTAATGGATGTGCTATTGGAGTGTGAGCAAAGTAAAAAAGAAAAGATTCAGGGAAATTGGCTAGCCAGACTTTAGTCCTGGCAGGCAAAAAAAATAGTGCTTGCACTCTGAGGGAGGGGTGAGGATGTTGCACTTGAAGGGAAATATGAGTTGTGGCATCAGCACACCTCTGGCAAGACAGAGATTAAATTAATTATGGTGAATATGTTTCCTGTTTTGGCTCACCTTACCTTGGTGGAAGATGGCTGTTGACAAAAAAAAATAGTGCTGAATATCTCTAACCAAGAGAGGACTCACAACAATGAATTAATGTTGGACAAATTTAGATTTAAAATAGATACAGGAAAGCACTTCTTTGGTAACAGAGGTCTAGATGAGCACAACAAACTCCCAATAAGTGTCACTGAAGCGAGTACTTGGGAAGCTTCAAATATAGGTTGGACAGCTACATGAGTGGGTGTGGTTGGGTGTGAAATGGACCTGCCTAGCATGGGTCAGTAGACCTACTGAGTTCTCCACTGTTCTTATGAACTTAAATGAAGCATCCAGGAATAGGAGACAAGAGGAGGTAATATGTGCTCACATTACTGGAAACTTTAAACAATTATAATAAATTAAATACTGAAGATGAAATACTATGAGCATATCTTTGCTTTTGTAGCTACTAAGAGCTAATCACACACAGACTTGAAAGAAAATAATAACAACAATTATGGAAATATTAACCTGGCATGCGAAAATCAATAGTATATGGATTTCGAAGGTGAAATTTTTTTATACTTGTGTACTTATTTAGTCCTTCTATCAAAACCTCAACACTGTTCTTGCTTTTAACTGGTTTATCCATCATTATATACAGCAGCTGGTGAACCTGGAAAAACAAAATAAAGTAAACTGATGAAATATACTCTAAATATTTGACTGATAAACTTTTTTTGAAATAAGGCTGAATATATTCAATTCAATTCAATTCAATTCAATGCAAAGTTTATTCTCTATAAGGATTACAATGCTGAGTTTACAGAATTTGGTTATTGTGTGGTTTACATGTAGTAAAATAATAATTACAGAGTGTACCACTAGAACACCTAGCATGGCTAGGCATTTCAGGCAGACTTAAGTTAAATTTTAAGTTTAAAATATTACAAAATTACGAGGTAAGTTGGTATTATGGCTAAGTGACTAAATACTAGTTTGTGAGTTTAGCAATGTGAATGCTTTTGTTTTGGCACTATACATAGTTTCAGTATTGGAGTATCACAGGCCAACTTATGACTAGTTAAGATTCATTATTTTGAGATTGAGATTGATATTTCTGTTTATGGTCAAATGGGTGAGTGAGTGTAAGTGTTAACCACCAGGTGGTATTCGTGTAATTAGTTGACAGGGTGTATCAGGAGATAAGAATGTATTCTGATGGTAGTTTTGAAGGTGATGAATGTGTCTGCAGTTTTAGAATTTTCAGATAGGGTGTTCCAGATTTAGGGCCTTTGACATACATTGAATTTTTGTAAAGGTTTAGTCGGACACGGGGAATGTCATAGAGATGTTTGTGTCTGGTGTTGTGCCTGTGGGTTCTGTCACAACTATCAAGAAAGCAATTTTAGGTCAAGGTTAATATTGGAATTTAAGGTCCTGTAGATGTAGATTGCACAGTAGTAAGTGTGGATGTACTGAACAGGGAGTAAGTTTAGATCTATGAAGAGTGGGGGGTGTGTTGCCAGGGATGGGATTTAGTGATTATTCTTACTGTGGCTTTTTGTTGGGTTATTATTGACTTTAGGTGTGTTGCTGCAGTTGAACCCCAAGCACAGATAGCATAGGTGAGGTATGGATATATAAGTGAATGGTATAGTGTGAGAAGGGCAGTTTGCGGCACGTAGTATCGTATCTTGGAGAGGATCCCAACCGTTTTGGATACTTTTTTGGTTATGTGTTGGATATGGGTGCTGAAGTTCAGGCTGTTGTCGAGGTATAGGCCTAGGAATTTGCCCTCATTATGCCTGGCAATTAGAGTGTTGTCGATCTTAATGTTAATTTGCGCATCTCCTGCTCTGCTACCAAACATAATGTAGTAGGTTTTGTCAGTGTTAAGCGTAAGTTTATTGGCTGTCCATCCAAGTCGATATTTTGATCAGCTCCTCATTAACAATGGTGTTGAGGGTGGCAAGATTAGGGTGAGAGATGACATAAGTCGTGTCGTCAGCAAAGAGAATGGGGTTCAGGTGTTGAGATACGTTTGGAAGATCATTGATGTATATGAGGAAGAGCAGGGACCAAGGACACTTCCCTGCGGAACTCCAGTATCAAGTGGCTGTGTTGTTGATGCTGTGTCTTTAATGATGACATACTGATACCTATTAGTAAGGTAAGATTTGAAATATGCAAGTGCATGGCCTCTATAACCATAATGGTCAGTTTGTGGAGTAGGATGCCGTGGTCTACTGTGTCAAAAGCTTTTCTTAGGTCAATAAAAATTCCTAGTGGATATTCCTTATTTTCCAATGCTGTGTAAAGCAGATCTAGCATTTTTATGATTGCATCGTTAGTGCTCTTATTTTTCCTGAATCCAAATTGGCAGGGGTTGAGTATGTTTTGTGCCGTTATAAATGAATATAGTCTCCTGTGCACAAGTTTCTCAAAGATTTTAGATAGCAATGGCAAGTTTGATATTGGCCTATAGTTGTTTAAATCTGTAGGGTCACCACCTTTATGTATTGGTGTAACCCTTGCCGTCTTGAGTAGTTTCGGGAAGGTGCTAGTTTCTAGTGACTTGTTAAAAAGTAATGAGATAGCATGCAAGAGGACATGGGCCGCTCTCTTGCACAATAATGGTGGGACATGAGACAGATTCCCTGAGTTATTTTTAAGTGACTTTATAACCTCGGTGACTTCCGTGGGCTCAGCTGGAGCAAGATAGAAGGAATTTGGGAAATTCCCATCTAGGTAGTCCCTGGCATGAGCATTGGTACGTGGGATTTTATTGGCGAGATTAGAACCTATGGTTGAGAAGAAGTCGTTTATCTTGTTAGCTGTGTCAGTGGGATGCAGTGGTGTTTCATTAGGTTTAGTTAGGACAATATTCTTGGTTTTTTTCAGTTTGTGGGTCCCTAGAATCTGAGAGAGTGTTTTCCAGGTCTTTTTTATATCTCCTCTTGTGTCAGTGAATCTACTGGAATAGTATAGTTGTTTGGCTTTCTTTATTACTTTGGTGAGGACTGATGAATAGTGTTTAAGAATATCTTTGTGTATTAGGCCCTATCTATATTGCTTTTCATATTGGTGTTTCTTATCAATGGATTTCAGAATGGTGCTGGTTAGCCATGGGCAACCAAGCCATTTGTTTGTGATCTGTATCGTTTTTATAGGACAATGTTTGTTGTATAGTCTAAGTAATTTGTTAAGAAAAATGTCTGTCCAGTCATCAATACCATTGGCCTTAGAGAATTCTGTAGGCCAGTCAAACAGTCTCTAGGTCAGCTTGAACTTCCTTATTGAGGCCTCATCATGGAGTGTAAATGAAACTTTGTTGTATTCAAGTGGTGGTTTACTAATGTTTGTCAAGAGGAAGGTAGGGTAGTGGTCTGTAGTGCTATCTGTGATTATCCCTGATTTAAGGGGGGCTAGTACATTGGTCCATATGTGGTCTATTATGGTTGCACTTGTTTCAGTGAGCCTGGTTGGTTTAGTTATTGTTGGTATGAGAAGTGTGTTGTTCATATTGTTGATGAAATCAGTTACAGGCTGATCATCTAGTAGGCCAAGGTTGATGTTGAAGTCTCCAGCTAAGAGAAGGTGATGCTTATTCATTTGTCTGTTTGTTATTAGTGCCTTTAATTTCTCACTGAAATTTGAGATGTTTGTGTGGGGTATCCGTATCGTAGGGGTTCTTAAAAGGAGATATCGAGGGTTGAAGGTAGACACACTTGTTGGATGGTAACGATATATTGTCAGACTGTGATGATGGGAAATGGAGCCCAGCTTCAGCCTGTCCTAGCCTATGTCTAACGCCGACTGAGAGAGTGGCAGAGGTACGAACATACACATGCGCATCCCGTGACGTCACACAAACAGTCACAGGCCTAGGGATCTCCTATCTAAAGCACATGGATGATACTGATATGCTATACAACACAGGGATCAGCAACTATGCTGACATCCGGTAAATGGCACCGATTGTTATAGGCGTCTTAAGGTTTTTTACAGTATTATATTATAATTATGGGGGAGCACTAAAGCAAAAATGCATTCTCCATATTCATCACTAAAGCAAGTGGTGCTAATACAAGATAATTGGTTAGAGTAATTGATTGCAATACCACCCCCAACTTGGTATGGTCTGCAGTTGTGGATTGCTGTGTATCCTGGTAGAGGGTAGATATCTATTGTGTCCTGCTTAAGCCAGGTCTCAGTAAGAATAATGCAGGAGAAGGGTGTCTTTAGTGATTCAAGGAGTGCCAGGAGGTCATCATAGTGTTTGCTTAAGGACCTGATGTTGTAGTTAAGTACTGATAGACTTTTAGCATTGTTTAGGATAGTGCTGGCTTGTGATGCTGTGTAGTAAAGGCAGTTACTTTCCAATAGGTTTTGATTGTGTGTCAGATTATGGAGGTTTAGATCAGGGTCAACGTGATCAATCATCTTCTAGGTTTAAATTATGGTTATTTATATCCTGAGTTGTGTTGAGTTTTAGTACTGATATCTGTAGTGGTGGGAAGTTTGGACAAGTATATAGCTATAGCATTTTGGTCATGTAGAGTATAGTCACTAATACACATAATGGAGTTGGTGTTGTCTATGTGTTGTGCTGGAATGAGCTAAAGTACAACTAGGTATAAACTAATAATATAAAAATACAAATTAAAAATAGCACAAGACTCTCACTTGTAATTGCACTAAGGTCTAATGTAATGACTTTGGTATAGTCTATGTATTGAACTAGAATGAGCTATAGTACAACTAGGTTTAATCTAATAATATAAGAATACAAATTAAAAATAGCACCAGACTCTCACTAGTAATTACACTATGGTCTAATATAATGAATTTGGTATTGACTATGTATTGAGCTAGAATGAGCTATAGTACAACTGAGTTTAATCTAATGATATAAAAAAGGCACAAGACTCTCAGTTGTAATTGCACTAAGGTGTTATATAAGTTGTTTACAAGAATTAGAGTATAACTAGATTTAAATTGACAAGATAAAATATACAAGTTAAGGTAGCAAAATAAAAAAAAAATAAAAAAAAAGTAGAAAAAAAAAATATATGAGGTAGTTGGTACTAGTTAGCAAAAGATAGTTAAGGGCCTTGAACAATAATATAATTGAAATATACACTAATTACACACACAATATAGTCACTAAGATATGAAAACAATCTTAGAGTAGGACTTATAATATAAAAATACAAATTGAAATGGTACTTGCAATTGCACTAGGGTCTGGTATAGGTTGTTGACAAGATCAAGAGTATAACTAGATTTAAATTGACAAAATAAAATTCACAAATTAAAGTACCAAAAGAATAATAAGTAAAAAATAACAATGGCAATGTCTTGGTTATAATATGATAGTAAGATGGTAGACAGGTACACAGGTACACAGGTACAAAGGATAATATAAAGGTTGGAGTTAAATATACAAGCTTGGAAATTTGGCAACAAAATGTTATGGGAAGTATAAAATAATGATTAATGTACAAAAGTAAAATTGACTGGTAGTAAATATGATGTTTAATAAAATTTTAGTAAGTAATAATGATTACAAAACAAGTGAAAAAGTAATGTTTATTTCATTCAATATTGCACTGGTAGTTATACTTGAGGTTATTTGGCAGTACAAGGTAATTAAGAGTACTCTAAGATAGT